CCATAGAACTTTCTCTATTTGAGTGCCCAACACGTAAGCCAGGACCTTGCTTACCAACCGCTCACTCAGTAACCATTTATAGTTGCGACAATACTGAAGGAATGGCACTTCAATCTTCGAAGTTCTGGCTGTCAGAGTGTTCCTATGGTCAAGTGATTATAATCTGGGTGCTTGCAACTGGCTCACACTTATGACAGAACAAGTGTCTCGCAGTTACATGATCATCATTTGCTACTTTCCCTGCCAGCTTCCCCAGAAGCAAAGTCATTGGGAAAAAAGGCAGAGAAAGTTGCATGCCACCCATTCTCGTGCTGTACCACCCCCACAGGCTTTTCTGGGCTTATGCTGCACCATCTGTGATCTTTCTGTACAGGTAGTCCTCAATTTACAACAGTTCATTTAGAGACCATTCAAAATTACAATGGCACCGAAAAGTGATTTATGACTGTTTTTCAGTTAATGATCTTTCCAGCATCCCCATGATCAAAATTCAGATGTTTGGCAACTGGTTCATACGTAACTGATTCATATTTTGACCATCCATGTCTCAGAGTCATGTGATCCCCTTTTGTGATCTTCTGACAAACAAAGCCAGATTCACTTAATAACCAGATTACTATTGATTGCAATGATTCACTTAGCAACTGAGGCAAGAAAGGTCATAAAATCAGACAAAATTCACTTAACGAATGTCCTCACTTTGCAACAGAAATTTTGGGCTCAATTGTGGTTGTAAGTCGAGGATTACCTGTATTTATGTGTGGCCGATACATGCCTTCTAAATCTCTCCCAGCCTACTTCAATTCATGGCCCCCCCTGGCTACCTCCTGCAGCATCCCCACACCCCTTTCCTTCCAACACTTCCTGCTTAATGGCCTGCATGTCGTAGGATTACAATGGCAACAGGGACGGTTAATACTAAGTGATGCAGTCATGTGATATTGTGCTTTCTGACTGCAATGCTTAACGACAGCAATCCTAATGCCAACTGCTGTCATAACCCAACTACCTTTTTCAGTTAGAACAAATCTTTTGTTCTAGCATCCTTAGACAACATCTGGTTGGAGAAAGCTGGGCTAATGTCCTCAGATTTGGGGAAAAACACATTCATATCTTTGTTTACTGATAAAACTCATAGTCTCCTGTTTTAGTAAGCCCCCTCAGAGCCGTTATGGGCAAATATTTGTTGAGTTTTGCCCCATTTTATGATCTTTCTTGCTATAGTTGTTAAGTGAAATCGTTGCACTTGTTAAATTAGTAACAGTTATTAAGTGAATCTGGCTTTCCCATTGACTTTGCTTAGCGGGAGGTTGCAAAAGGGGATCACATGACCCTGGGGCACTGCAACCATCATAAATATGACTCAGTTGCCAAGCACCTGAATTTTGATCACGACAATGGGGATACTGTATTGATTGTAAGTGTGAAAAATGGTGGTAAATCACCTTTTTCAGTAATGTTGTAACTTTGAATGGTCACAAAACAAACTGTTATAAGTCGAGGTCTACCTGTATAACACGTTTAAAAAACAGCAAAGAAATAAGGTCCCTAATGTTTATTCTGTAGCCCCTTATTTCTTGAGGACACTTAACAGTGTTTCCTCAGCCAACCCATTTTCTGGGATCAAACAGAGGTAGATTTGTATATGTCTTACTCTGCTGTATTGAAAAAAAGTAATAAAGTCTTTCCCTTTCCAAACTGAAACACAAGTGATAATTCTAAGAGAATTTCCTATGCATTTGGCATCTTGCCCACCAAAGGACATGGGCATTCCCAACTTAACGTGTAAGTTCATTTCACCATGAGCAACAAAATGGGCTTTGTAATTTAGCCTAATCTCCCAACCACGGCATCCTAGGTCAAGAGAAGGCCCTTCAAGCGAAGGCATGCAGTGACGGCAGCTGGCTCAAATTTTATAGGAGAGGGGGTTACAAGAGAAGACTATCATGCCAGTTCCAGAGTAACAGCTAAATTTTATTATTGTAAAGCAGGCCAGAAAAAAAAAAAAACATTTTTCATGGGCTGGCATATTACTGTACATAGAAAGGACTACAACCCAGCTCAAAACCTATTATACTCATGTGAAAATAAACTCTGACAAACAAAATGGGATTTGAATACACTAGACGAAAAAAGAAGGATCTTGAGATCTGTTTAACCCAAGAATCTCAAATTCTGGATCCCCAACCAAGGGGTCTTTGAGTTGAGATGATTCCTTGTCACTTTACAGACACATAGTTTTCTTAGCATATTATGGAAAAGGTTAGGCACTGCCTTCTTTGAATTTTTTTTTTACTTCCCAGTTTAACAGCCTAGTGCCATGATGGCAAACCTATGGCATGTGTGCCACCTATAGCACACGGAGCCATATCTGTGGGCACGTGAGCATTGCCCTAGCTCAGTTCCAGCATGCATGCATGTGCCGGCCAGCTGATTTTCGGGCCCTCCAGTCCCACCAGAAGTTGGGAAACAGGTCATTTCCAGCCTCCAGAGGGGTGAGGAAGGCCGTTTCACTCTCCCCAGGCTTCAAGAAAGCCTTTGGAGCCTGGGGAGGGCGAAAAAAGGGCCTACTGAGCCCACCGGTAACCTTTTTGCCATCGCATGCCAAAAGCACGGGGAGCGTGGGGGGGTCACGCACATGCGCGGGGCATTGAATTATGGGTATGGGCAGCACATGTGTGATTCCCCCCCCCCCGTGCTTCCCCTACTTTTGGCATGCAACGGCAAAAAGGTTAGCCATCACTGGCTTAGTGATTTCCCACTGAAATCTAACTAAGCCCAAAGATACTTAGTTTCCAAGCCCATCAACTTCAGCCATGTAATGACACTAGCAGTGGTCTCCAGAGTTATTTATTTGTATTTCATATTTATTGTAATGCAATTACAATTGTAGTTAATCAAGCCAAAGGCTAATGTCCCATCTTATAAACCTGGACATATGTAACTGTTTTATAAGCCTGTGGGCATATATGGAAAGATACAAAATAAAGAAACTTTAAGCGAAGAATAGCCCTCTCTCCCCCCCCTCCTCCCTCCCACTCTCTCTCTCTCTCTCTCACACACACACAGCATGAAATCAAATTATATCCAGTATCAGGAGCTGAAAGATGACTTCTTCTCTAATTCCTTAATAACTTTACAGTTAAATCCTCATCAACAGTTGACAGTTTCGTCTAAGTTGGTTTTGGTGTCTTTTTTAAAATGTAAACCCAATAGTGATCCATGGCACTCACCCCAATTTATTAACTATAGTTTAGAAATCAGGAGCAATCTCTCTAATTTTAATCATGAAAGCTGTCATTTTCTAATCGAGTATCAATTAAAAGAGAATTGTAGTTAATAGGACAACTGTTAACCTTTTTTTTTTTTGTTCAGGAACAACATTTTTGAGAGAGGGGAGGGAACTTGGCTTGCTCCATTTCAATCATGGATTTAAAAAGGTTAAAGAACATTATCAATCTGAGCCACTGGTATACAAAAGCTTTATCTCCAAAATGATAACTATTTTGTATTTCTATTTCTCAGAAAATATCCTATTATGAAAATAGCCAATAATTTCTCAAGTTTTGTGAACTTACCATTTTACCACTTACATCTGGAATTATATACTAAATGCAATAACTCTTCACCATATATGTTTTATATATAGATAATCAGATTTCCACATATAAGTACCACAAGCAAGATTTTTAAAATATCGGAATCTCAAAATATTCCTTGCATATGGAGGGATTGAGAGAAGGAACCACAACTATTTTAAAAAATTAAATTCCGGTAAGCTATAGAGAAATTTAAACCTGCAGTAAAAAGTACCTTTCTCCATTATTTACACTATCAGCAGATATGGTAATTAAAAGGAAAAACCACAGAATTAAAGAGCAGAGAAACCAGAAAAATAAAATGTAGAATTCCAATCCCCTGCAGGATGCTCCAGCCTTCACCAGAATATTACTGGCTATTAACCTGTACAATCCCAGATCAAACAAGTACAGAACTGGAACAGACATACAGCATATTAAGCACAGCTCCAAAACTCAGTAAAAACTTCTCTTGTATAAGGGGAAAAAAACATTTTTAGCCTCTGGATTATTTTAATTTTTTTTTCCAGGTAACTGCTCATATACATCCGATTTTTTTCATCTCTTTATTTTTTTTCCACGGCTCCTATTCTCATAACGTATCTACATCTGCAATCTAAATCAATTGCAATACATTTCATATTTTAAAGGTTTAGGACAGTCCTTATTTCTAAAGTTTTGCTCCATCAACCCTCCGAAGTCTTAATCGAAGCCTTCCATCTGTTTAAGGGAAAAAAAACATTAAAATAGCCTGTCCAGGTTTCCCACCAGAGGGAGGCTGCAAGGCACCTTCTATTTATTTTGGGATGAGATCTTAAAACAGCATGCATAGCGACCCGTTCCGTTTTGCTTGTCTTTTTGGGATGTCAAATGCCCCCTCCATTCTTCAATGACAGATTCGGCATGTACCCTAAACAAAATGTCTCCATTCCTGACCCCCATTTTGAAGGGATCCTTAAAAACTGCCTCTCCCACCAAAACCCCAAATATCACACACTCGCGCCCTCACACGCGCGCACACACATGGCAAGATTTCAAAAGTCACCCTAATAAGCTCAATGAAGGTCTGGTCTGCTTGGCCAGAGCCTGGGGTTTAAACCCCGGGCTGCCCAAGCCGAAGCAAACAAGCCAGTTTACCAGAGTTGTACTTCAGCCTACAAAGGAGTTGAGACAAACACAGGCGGAAAAAGCATGTTGTTATTATTATTATTATTTTTCAAGAGCTGCGTTTAATTAATTCATCTGTTAGGGATGCAAACCATTATTCCCGCAACGGGATGGGGAGGCAAAGCATTAATTCCCCCCAAAACAGTCCGCTTCACCACCAACCAACCCTACCCAAAACCCCAACCCAACCCAACCAGGATGGTGGTGGCTTGATCTCGGTTTAAGGTGACCCACCGAGAGAAACCAACTTCTCACCTTTATCCTGAGAGCAAGACAGGATTTCTTCTTCTTTGGGGTTTGTCACCTGGGTGATAATGGACGGGTTGTCCATGGAAACTGAGTGCGCTTTTTCACCTGGCTATTTCCCTCCCAGAGGCAGCTTTTGGTGGGCACTTTTTAATTTTAAGCTTTCCTTTTAGGAAGCCGAGAGGCGGATTTATAAATGGGGCGAGGGTGGGTGGGGAGGGGGGTGTGAAAGGGGAGGGGAGAAAAAAAAAAAACAACCACTCCTCCAAAGCGAGCAAGCCACCCCCCCTCAAAAAAAAGGGAGGGAGGGAGGAAGGAGTGGAGTAGACACACACACACACACACACACACAGGTCTCTTCGGGGCGGAGGGAGTCAAAAAAAAACACGCCCCTCCCCGCAGGAAAAAAAAAGAAAAGAAATAAAAGAGGGGGAGGGGTTTCTGAAAGTGCCCCCCCCCTCCCTGAGGCGAAAGGAGCGGCTAAAGGCGCAAAAACGCCCGCGTGGAGACGGAAGGCCGGCGGAGCATCTCCCTTCGTCTTCCGCGGCCCAGCAGAGCCGCCGCCGCCGCCGCCGCTAGTTACGGCTGGGCTCGGACGCCGGCGGGGCTTGAGGAAAGGCGGGCGACCCCCGGGCAGCCCCCGGGCGCGCTCATGGCACCGTCAGGCGGCCTGGATGGCCCTGAGGAGGAGGAGGAGGAGGAGGAAGCGGCCCCCTCACGTGCCGCCCCCCATTACCTCATCCCGCCCCCGCCGGCTCTTCCCCGCGGCCGCTGCCGCTGCGCCACAGCCGCCCTCAGCGCCCCGGATGCTCCGCCCGCCGTCCGCCCCGCGGCCCCGACCAGGTGGAAGGGAACGGCAAGGACCCCGCCGCCGCCGCCGCCTCCTCTACCGCCGCCTCAGGCATCACCAGGGAGGCGGGAAGCCGCGCGGCGCCTGCTCACTCGGCCGCCTCACGGCAGCCAGCCGTCCCCGGCGGACCAGTAAACAACGGGGCGGGGCCTCTCCGCCGCCATCTGTCAATCCCAGAGGAGGGCGGGGATTCTCCGCCGCGATCAGTCAATCCGGAGGGAGGGAGAGGGCGGGGCCTGCCCGCCTCGCCCTGTCAGAGAGCGGGAGGGAGAGCGCGCGGCCTGTCTGTCTGTCTGCCTGTCTGCCTGTCTGTCTGTCTATCTCCCGCCCTCCCACCACCGCTGTCAATCCAGCCGAGCGAAGGCTTTCTTCGCCGCGGCCTGGTATCCATCCAATGGAAGAAGCGAAGCGAAAGGAGGGAGGGAGGGATTTTTTTTTCCTCCCGCCGTGGCTGTCAATCTCAGAGGCTGGAAGGAGGACTCTGAAGAAGGGGCGGAGTTTCTCCCCTCCGCACCCAGGGAAGGCTCTCCGCAGAGGGGGCGGGGTTTCCCCGCCGCGGCCTGCCAATCCGGTGGAGGGGGAGGAGAGAGGGGGCGGAGTGGCCAGCTTTAGGGGGCGGGGTCTCGCTGGCGGCGGTGGAAACGGCGGCGGCAAAAGGAGCGATTCGCTTAATGACCGTGGCAAGAAAGGTTGTAAAACGGGACAAAACTCACTTTACAAAGGTCTCGTTTAACCACAGCAATTTTGGCCTCCGTTGTGGTGGTAAGAAGGGGCTGCTTCTCTTTAGCTAGCTTGTGGAAAGACACAGGGTAGTCCTCAACTTACAACCGCTCTTTTAGTGACGGTTCGAAGTCAAACCAACCCTGAAAAAAAAAGCGAGGGGACTGTTTTTCACACAACTGTTGCAGCATTCCCAATGGTCACGGGATCGAAATTCAGCCGTTTGGCAACTGGCATGGATTTATGATGGTTACAATGACAAAGCAAAATCAATGGGGAAGTCAAATTCACTTAACAACCATGTTACTAACTTAACAACTGCGGTGGTTTACTTAACAATTGTAGCAAGAAAGGTTGTAAAATGAGGCAAAACTCACTTAACAACTGTCTTAGCAACAGAAATTATGGGTTCGATTGAGGTCATAAGTCAAGGACTCCCGGCAGCCCTGTTCAGGTACGGAAAGGAGAGTCATGATCCGCAGCCCCTCCATAACCTCACAAACCTAGGACCAGAAATACAGATAATCCTCGACCTAACAACCATTCATGTAGTGACCATTTGAAATGACAACAGCACTGGAAAAAATTGATTATTATTTTTCATATAACCGTAGCAGCATCCCTGTAGTCACGTGATCAGAATTCACCCCCCCCCTCCTTGGCAACTGGCATGTATTTATAGTGGTTGTAATGTCCTGAGGTCATGTGATCCCCTTCTGCAACCTTCTGACAAGCAAAGTCAATGGGGAAGCCAGATTCACTTAACAAACGTGTTACCAATTTAACAACTGAGGTGATTCACTTAACAAACGTGGCAAGAAAAGTCGTAAAGGCAAAACCTAACAACTGTCTTGCTCACCAACGGAAATATCCTTTGTAATGGAAGCGAAAGTTGGATTTTAAAGAAGCAAGGCCGGCCAAGTATAGTCACCTTTGAACTGTGGCGTTAGGGAAGAGACCTAAAAATAGCATGGATAGTTAAGAAAACAAAACGGATGGGTCATTGAGCAAATAAATCTAGAGTTCTCAATTCCAGGCACACATGACCCAGGTCAAATTATCCTAGTTTGGACACATGATGTGAACATCCAACTCTCTGGAAAACCCTGTAACGCTGGGAAAGATGGAAGGAAAGACAAGAGATTGTCCAGCTCCCTCAAAAAATCCACAATGGTGGAAAATGTTGAAGGAAAGAGAAGACGAGGATGGGAAGGTGGATGGACTCAGTGACAGAGGCGATGGGGAATCATTGGAAGACGTGAAGAACCAGGCTGAGGACAGTTGCTCTTGGAGAAGATCAACCCATGTGGTCACTAGAAGTCAACACTGACTTGAAGACACACAATCAATTGTCTAGTTCCCTTGCAAAGTCCATAATGATGGAAGGAAAGGGAAAACTAGTGGTGGGATTCAGCCAGTTCACACCTATTCGGGAGAACCGGTTGTTAACTTTCTAAGCAGTTTGGAGAACTGGTTGTTGGAAGAAATCTTAGTTTCTTTTTTTCCACTTTACAGAGCTAATCCTGTAAGGAAGGCAGAGAGGAAACATTCTGGTGGTGTTTCTAGCGTAATCTTTATTGCCCTGCTTACAGAAACTGCCTCTCTGGTTAACCCTTATTACATTGTAACAGCTAAGGCAAAGCGCCCATCGAGGTGAGTGACGTTGAGTTGGCCATGCCCACACGGTCACATGACCACTGAGCCACGCCTACCCAACTGGTCATTAGGGCAGAGAACCGGTTGTTAAATTATTTGAATCCCACCATGGGGGAAAACTACCATCAACACAGATGGTGGCATTGTTGGGTCACATCATCATCTTCTTCACCCAAGAAGGAGAAGAAAATGACCAATAGGAAGGTGGATAGACTCAGTTACATAGTGATGTGGAAGCATTGTTGCAAGACCTGAAGGATTCCCCGGATGGATAGATTGTCGTAGAGAAAAATCTATTTAACAGAATAACAAGAGTTGGAAGGGATCTTGGAGATATCACCAATTGCTTAATGACCATTCAAAATTACGATGGGCCCCAAAGAAAGAGATTCCAGAACTCAAATTTGAAGTTCTGTCCTCTGCGGTCCTCCAATAGTCACATTCCCACATTTTGGGTGCTCACCAACCAGCCTGCATTTACAGCTGTTTGTAGCATCCCATAATCACATGACCACAATTGACTCTCTCTTTTTTTGCTCCTGAAACTGGCACTTATTTTTTGGTTTCCGGCAAAAAAATGCCCCATAACAAACAATGTATTTGCTTAGCGACAGATGCAAAAAGCCTTCCATTCTGGTGACTTAAGACTGCAGTTGCCACCTCAGTTACAATCATAAGTTGAGGACGACTAGGAATGAACATTGATCTGATGGCATACAGGTAGTCCTCAATTTATGACCACCATTGATTGAGCCCAAAATTTCTGTGGTTAAGTAAGACATTTGTTAGCCCCATGAGTTTTGCCCCATTTTACGACCTTTCTGGACACAGTTAAGTGGATCACCGCAGTTGATAAGTTAGCAACCTGATTGTTAAGTGAATCTGGCTTCTCCTTTGATTTTGCTGGTCAAAAGCAGATCACATGATCCCGGGAAACAGCAAAGGTTGTAAGTATGAGTCAGTTGCCAAGGATTTGAATTTTGATGCCATGATCATAGGGATGCTGCAAAGATTGTTAAGTGTGAAAAACGGTCATATGTCACTTTTTTCAGTGCCGTTGTAACTTTGAACGGACACTAAATGAACTGTCAGGGACTACCTGTAATTTCTCCAATTGGCAAATGTCAAATACTCCTGTATGAGTGCAGTTATTCCCTTCCCAGAAAATAAAAGTATAATTATGGATTATGGTTCAGAGGACTGGTTCAAACAGTACAGGATAATAAAAACAAGGACAAATAGGCTGAAAAACAGCTTCTAGATCAGGGCAGTAACTATACTGAATTCTATTGTATAGTGCAATACTAATGCAATATCAGGTTTTCAATTCAATTGTATAGAATGTGAAGGATGTGTGTTTGTGTTTTATTTTTATAATGTACACGGAAGGTGGCGTTTGATTTCGTTGTACGAGGTGCAATGACAATAAAGTAAATTAAACTAAAAATCAGAAACTCGACTAGCTACATTCAGCAGGAGAATCTACTCTGTAGCCCAAATAGAGGCCTCATTTCTACCTGTTGCCAGGTGTTTTAAAAAAGGAGGGTTGGTGGGGATTAGAAGCGGGATGCTTTTTGTTTTTCCAAGACAGAGCCACAACATATTATTCTGTTGCCTTTCTCTAAAAATAGATGAAAAGGAATATGTTTAGAAAACACAGAGCAAAAGGCAGTTGTGGCTCCTGTTTGCTTAGAGTAGGTTTTATCCTCCGGTGAACCCATAGCAGCGAAAAAGCCTCAAAACAGCTGGTTTTTGCAGCGTGCCCTTCAAAACCTTCCCCAATCCTGGTTTAACTGTCGGAAAGCTGGCTTTGGCAATGTGCTTCAACTTGCTCCAGGGGAGATATGTACCTGCACACCTTTGCACAGTTGTGTACAGAAAACAGCCGGTTGCAAGGGTGTGGCAAGACAGAGGATGCTTTCTGCACTTGGGGGAATTAAAAATTGGTCTGGAACGCTTGGCCACTGCTTCCATACAAACCAGGTCAAAATTCATGACACAGGTATAGTCCTCGGCTTACGACTGTAATGGAGCCCAAAATTTCTGTTGCTAAGCGAGACAGTTGTTACGTGAATTTGGCCCCACTGTACTACCCTTCTTGCTAAAAATTGTAAAGTGGAATCACTGCGGTTGCTAAGTTAGTAGCATGGTTGGTAAGTGAATCTGACTTCCCCAGTCGACTTTGGTTCTCAGAAGGTGCAAAAGTGGATCCTTGGGACAGTACAACCGTCATAAAAATGAGTCAGTGGCCAAGCATCTTAATTTGTGAACATGCAATGATCGTAAGTGTGAAATATGGTCATAATTTACTTTTTCCAGTGCCGTTGTGACTTCAAGAGGTCACTAAATTATTCGTATGGGTTGCCCTCTACTTACAACTGTTACATTTAGCAACTGCTCAAGGTTACAAAAATGATTCAAAATTCCACTGGCCAGTCAATCCCCACCCCAGTGAAGGAGAAATTTTCTAACAGTGAGACCAATGGTGAAATCCAATTTTTTTTTT